TCCTCTTTCCTTATGCAACACTCCCAGTCCCCCAGAAGTCAGATCGCATCAAGAATTTGACAACCTGGGTCAAGGATCATACCGCGGGGTGGGTGGGCGGCTTCTCCATCCCTCGGCCCCTCCCACCACGCCCACCCTCTAAAAAACCCCCACTCGACATGACGGCGAAAAAGGTGGAGGCCAAGTTAGCCGATGGTGACATTCGGGGAGCAATCCGCCTCGCATGCTCAGATGACATCATCGCTCCGTCCGACGATGAGACCCTCGCCGCCCTTCTCACAAAACATCCCGCCCACCCACAACCAGTCGATTTTCCTCCACCACTTGAGGATCCTGTCATTGCCCCTGTTTTAGACGAAGAGTTGCTTCGGGCAATTTCCTCTTTTCCGCCAGGGTCCGCGGACTGGACGGAATGAGGCCCCAGATCTTGAAGGATCTCCTGGGGTGCAGTCAAGGAGAAGGGGGCGACCAACTCGCCGAAGCGATGCGGACCTTCCTCAACAAGGTCCTCAACGGTGGTGTCCCCTCAACTTTTTGCCCCCTCTTTTACGGAGCTTCCCTCACTGCCCTGAAGAAGAAGTCGGGCGGGATTCGACCCATCGCTGTGGGTAATACGTGGCGGCGCCTTGCCGCGAAGATCATTGTGGGAAGGATTACCCCTCAGTTAATCAAGCATTGTTCCCCCCACCAATTGGGGGTGGGCATCAAAGGCGGGGCGGAGATTGGCGCCCACGCAGCCCGAATTTTTTACGGCCACGCCCACACCTCGCCAAAAGCGTTCCTGAAAATCGACTTCAGGAACGCCTTCAATGAAATTCGGCGGGACACGCTACTCCACGCCGTCCGCGACCACTTTCCCTCCATCTTTCCTTTTGTGGCGCAGTGCTACGAAAGCCCCTCGTCGCTTTTCTACGGGACCATCCCCATCCCTTCCCTCCTTGGGTGCCATCAGGGCGACCCCTTAGGCCCCGCCCTCTTCTCCCTCGTAATCCACCCCATCGTCGAAGCCATGGAAACGGAACTAAACTTATGGTACCTCGACGATGGGGCCATTGGGGACTCTCCCGAGAAGGCTTTGGCGGCCCTGGCAACCATTGCTAGGATGAGTGGTGAGGTGGGCCTTCACCTCAACCACGACAAATGTGAAGTCGGGATTCTGGGGGCGGAGCGGGAGGCCGCCATCGACATCCTGCTCCAATTCCAACAAGTTGCCCCCGGGATTCAGCTGATGTCCCCTGATTCTGCGATGCTGCTGGGCGCCCCCTTAACTAACGAAGCCCTGTGGGTGGTTCTGGCCACGAAGACGCAGCAATTGACCACTTTCTCCGAACGACTCCTAGATCTCTCGGCTCATTCTTCCTTTTTCCTCCTGAGGGCGTCCATCTCCATCCCCCGGCTGATTTACTTTCTCCGCTGCGCACCGTCGTGGAGAAAGTTGGACGCCCTCGCCCACTACGACGCTACTCTGAAGGACGCCCTGGAAGGGATCCTCAACTGCACTCTCTCGGAGGCTGCTTGGATGCAGTCCTCCCTACCCGTGAAGGAAGGCGGCCTGGGGCTCAGGCACGCTGTGGATGAGGCGATACCGTGCTTTTTAGCGTCGGTCCACAGCGTCCTGCCCCATGTAGAACGTCTCCTTCCGGACCACCTCCATGGCACCGACATCGCCATGGCAGAGGGTGTGCAGCGGTGGACCGACCTTGACCTCACCGACCTTCCACTCGAAACCGTCAGAGGGATTCAATCGGCGTGGGAACGCCCCATACTGGACAACACTTTGTCCAAACTCTCCGAATTGGCAGTGATCCCGGAGGATACTGCCCGTCTACGTTCCCTCCGTGACAAATACGCCGGGGTGTGGCTCAACGCCCTCCCCTCTCCAAAACTGGGCACCCTTCTCCCCAACGAGACCTTTCGGGTCGCAATCGCCCTCCGCCTAGGTTACGATATCTGCGAGCCCCACAAGTGCCCCTGCGGGGCGCAGGTCACCTCCAGAGGCTACCACGGCCTCTCCTGCCGCCGAAGTAAGCGTCGTTGGTCCCGCCATGAGGCCGCCAACGACGTCATCGCCAGAGCCCTCCGGTCTGCCGAAGTACCCTGCATCAGGGAGCCCGCGGGGTGCTCCACCACGGACGGCAAGCGTCCCGACGGGATGACACTTGTCCCTTGGTCGCGGGGGGGTCCCTTGTCTGGGACTTCACCTGCGCGGACACATTCGCCCCAAGCTACCTCCCAGACACCGTGCGCCATCAGGGCGCTGCCGCCAGCAAGGCAGAAGACCGCAAGAGGAAGAGGTACGCTTTCCTCATGGATCGATACATTTTTGTCCCCGTTGCCATGGAGACCACGGGAGTTTGGGGCCAAGAGGGACTGGCCTTCATCCTCCAAGTTGGCCAGAGGATCGCCGCCGCAACTGGACAGTCCAACGCCGTTAACTTTTTACGCCAGCGGGTTTCGCTCGCCGCGCAACGTGGGAACGTTGCCTCGATTCTAGGTACACTTCCTCCAGGAAAGGAACTGGAGGAAGTGTACTATTTGTAGTCCGTTCTCTCTCTCTCCCATTCGTACGGACCTTTTCTGCGATTTTCTGCGTTTCTTTAAGTTAGGGACCTTTCTTGTGCGACTCTTGCGTAGTCAGCTTTTTGCGATACTTTGTGATTATTTTCGTACCAACTCTGCGAACACAGCTTATACTCTGATCAATAAAAACAAAAAATAAAGTATCTAGAAATGACTTTAAAAATATGTTTCATCTCAAATTTTGGAATCTTGCTTATTCCAACCAATCATAAAAAATGAATTTTTCGTATTTCTCATCAAAGGACTCAACAGTTTGAAACTTGTTAAAAAACATTCCTCTTTTAGAGAAAATCATGAAAATTTTAATTGGTTATTTTCAGGTGTAATTATGAAACCAATATTGTTTTCAAGTGAAGTTTTTTTAGAATCATGGTCACACTGAGGTTAATGGGAAAGAGTTTCGAAAGCTGTAATGATATCGTGCCGATGTGACACAAGCGGGGGTCTAAAAAGTCGCGATTTTTGCATTACATAATTTATGAACGACCCCTTTGACAAATTGCGATAATTCACACTCACATAGTCCTTCCTGTGGATAATTCTCACAAATCGTATTCACCTGGCGATACCGGCGTCACAATGAGGTTTTGTAAGATAGCAACTGCCGTAGCATACGTCAAGTGCACTGCAGCAAAGGTCCGTCCTCGCGATCATAATAACGTTCAGTGGTACCTGCAAATGTCCGGGATGTTTACACATTCTTAAGAAATACTTACATCATTACTCACGACAAGTGTCTTTCTTATTCTTAATAATGGAAATTACAGTTTTGCAATGAAAAATTTCCCACTCAGCAACAAACTGTTACCAATCCAGTAGGAAGTCACTACCAAATTAAGACCAGCCCGGAGTATATGCAACTTCACCAGATTTCGAACAGTTTTCACTCTCAATAGTTTTTACCAACTTGGTAAAAATTATTAAGAGTGCAATCTTGGTAATACCGAGATTACTTCAGTTCTACCAGATTTAGCGCACGCTCAATAATGTTTACCAAGATTACTCTTCCGACCGAGCTGGTACCGCGTGGTAACATTTACTTATTTACATATATAAATACACGTATTGACAAGTTGTATTCAGAGGGTAACAAATTACCCCCAGTGTCGGTGACGTTTTTATTACCAGAACATTATCATTGGGGACTGAGCAGGGTTTAGTTTTACCTTTCCGAGACATATTATTACCCAAACGGTTGAATTTAAATTAATCGTATCCAAAAATTGTTGAGGGTGGTTAAAAAAAATAAGAAATTTTATGTGAATCATGCCAGACCAACTTACAGTTTGCCATGCAGCTCCACACCCATTTTTTGCGGGTGTGTTCCCCTTCGAAACCCGGTTTCCGAACGGACACGAATCGCAATCGTCCACTGCAAAGGCAACATTGACAAAAACCAGGAAAAAAACGGTGAACGTTGCGGTTAAGAAAGTCATTCTGAGTTGTTAGAAACGGTGTAAATGTGTACTACGTAGTTTCCTAAAAGTTTGGATATTTCGTCCTTCCTTAGTCCTGGATGGATTTTGTGACGTGCGGTATCGCTTATATGCAAAAATTTGTTGGGATGCACAGGGTTCGACCAAAGTAAAAAAAAATACTTTATTAAATTCTAAACAGCGCTTTACTTGGTTTCTGCATAATTCATTACTGCATATCAGCCATTGTTTCATGTGTTGGAGTTATACTATAAACCAGAAAAACAACAAAACATCTATTTAAATATAGCAAACAAGCTAGTTTAAACCAGGTAAAAACAAATGAAACAGCGTTTTTGGTCATATTTAACAGAACCTTTGTTTTTGCTTCGATGGAATGCGTAACTACAGTCATAAAACTTAAATTATGTATAATGTTCCGCGAATTTTGGTGGACAATAAACATTTACTATTGGTAAATTCGTTCCAAGTATTTGGCCTCCTGACTTATTTAAATTTATCACTGTGCGTGTATATCTACTTATTCCCTTAAATAATCATGTTCGGAAAATAATTATCTAAATTAATAAGGATTTAATTATCTCCACGGTAATTATGAATGACGCATTTACCAAGTAGTCGCATGCATATGATAAGTATCCTATTATCCTGATTAATTAAGTTATAAAAAATAATAAAGCTTAATCTCCCAGGTCAAGTCGGCCTGTTTGGCGGCTGTTTACACAATTTGGCATGATGCTTTTTGATAACCATTTAATTAGTAAGTAAGGAAGAAGCATACACAGATCCTATTAAATTCATCAAATACATATGTGTGTTAATTTATGTTTTATTGAGCTGTGTGCATTAATTATACAGCAGCCCTAAAACCGATTTATGTACTTGGTAAACACACTCCGGTGACGACGACTGTTTAATTTTGCAAAGCAATTAACTAATTACATGTTGATAATAAATATTTATCAATGTTTATTAACCCTCATTTCTGCTAAGATTACTGTTGAACTAGGTAATAATTTACGTATGTAAAAATGATATCATACTTTAAAACATCATTTATGTATGTCATAAGAAGAATGTCTCTTCTTCTTTAAAAATTTTAGCAAGGTCTTCTAAATTTCGGATTATACAAAGATCTGCACAATATACATTCACATGAAGAAACATAGATATTTATGCAGACAAGGGATTGCCATTATATGTACAATATTTGCATACATAGTTTACCAGAATTTTGCATAATCCCTTCACACAAATTTAAATTTACATGATAATCAGTTTGAATGATTTTCGAAAACTAATTTTAACTGCTATTTCATTCCGCCAAACCAGTCCATGAAACACCGCACCCGAATTAAATATTGGGTTATGTTGTTCCATTTCCTGCTAATGTTTGTGCCAAAAATTTTATGTAATAAATCGTGCACATCTTAATAGTATATATTATTTGAAATAAATGGTTTTCCAAAGTGTATCGCAAATAGGTACAAATTGCAAATACAAATCGGATCTGGCGTGTTAATGAGAGCATTACGATGCCGTTTGTTGTTCAAGTTTGTTTATCCGTGTGTTGAAATTGGACACACAATATAAAAATTGTCAATAGGGTGTTGAGTATCTGAAATATATTACAAAATTGCTTTTATTACAAGTACGTAAAATTGTTGTAACATTTCATGATTCTGAATCAGCAGGGAAACTAGATACATATCACAGACAGGTCCGGAGAGGGAATAAGGACAACTACACTCTTAGAAACTTTGTCACTAACGGTGGACTTGATGTGACCCTACCGGTTGGTGAACATACATTTACGCCACACCTTTGTATCCGCATGGAAATAAGCTACTATTGCCTCGGTGCTACTCAATCACCACGCAGAAGCACATCACCACCAACAAGGAAAAACCATGATCACAATAAACTATAATTTCATCTATCAACGGAATTCTTTAAGTGTAGATGTACGTACATCTTCAAAGAAAATAACTAACCCCAAAGACGAAGTTATAGTTATATATGAATATCCCATCACCGCTTAATCCGACGGGATGTGAGGCGGCGTCTTGGGTCAAACTAATGAACAGGAGAGGGTCGTTTTCCATGGCCTTTCGAACGTGTCGTTTCATCAGCCATCTAAAATAAATGTACAAGGGATGCATTGAGAATTAATTAATTAGCTACATGAATCGTAATTTGGGAAATTGGGATATGTTATTTTTGAAAATTAAAACGGGATCAGTTGGATCAGATATTTTTTTAAACCAAAAAACGCATCAGATGCAGTCAGGTTTCTGAACGTTCACACGAATCAAACGTGACTTACTTTCGCAATCCATCCGTCCTTCGAGAAGCATCCGCTAACAGTAAAATTGTTAGCATGACGACCAAAAAGGCCAGGGCGAGATAAAGTTTGGCAGGGCTGGTCTTACTCGCGACAATGTCGAGGAGGTGCGTGGCATAGAAGAACATGACGTCGGCCGCGTACGGAAGCATGATTTTGGAGAAAGCGACGTTCATCAAGTCCGATAGGGTTTTTAGATCCTCGTACATCTCCAAAATCTCAGGAACGACTAACTACAAATTTTTTTAATTTGGTAAATTTTGAAATTCAATTCAATGTTACTTGAATTTTTTTTTCTGGAAAATATTCGAGATAAATATATTTCCCAATTGAATTTAAAATAGTCAGGTGTGTATGTAATTTTGGGAATATTTTCCTGTAATATTTTAAATTCCCTCAACGGGTTGTAGAATTTCAAAAATTTCGAGCTTAACTGCGAACTTATTTCGTGATCAAAAAATCCATATTATTTCTTGCAATTTCTTACAGTGCAGAGCACGAAATGAAGAAAACGTGAAAAATTAAACACTTAATTATCAATTTAGTGTTAATTTGGCAACATTTTCGCAACTTTGCTGTGTATGCGACTTATCTTTTGTCTTTTACCTTATCTTCCTCCACCACTTTATAAAAGTGGTAGGACGGCACCCACAACGTAAACGCGATGACTAGCGTGAACCAATCCCCGCAAAATGGGATAAGGATGCCTGCAAAGTTGGAAAGTATGTCGAAGCAACCAAGCAACACGTCGGACCAGTCGGAGGTCACGTTGTCCTGAACCAAGTCAGTTGTAAGGTCATCATAAAAATAGGAAATCCAGGGTATCTTCCTGGTCAAGGTTTGCTTTAGAGAGATCACATCGTTGTGAAATTTTGTGTGGAAAAATTGTTGCTCATTTTCGTTTGGATTGTACAGGATAAATTCGATGAAGCAGCGTGACGTGGAGACGAGAGTAAAAACGGTGATGAGAAAGTGGCTGCAAGCCTGCAAGGTGAGAATAATGAAGTTAAGGAGACAAAATTTAACCTGTTGGGTGATCAAAACCTGATGATAAACTATGTATCTTAAGGGGCCCCTTATTTTTACCTAGGTGCTATTTTCGCAACTACATACGGTAAACTATTCGAGCTTGAAATAAAATTCGATTCGACCTGCGGGATTTTTAACTTAATTATATACACTCTAAGAAACCTAGTAACTAAATAAGTTATTTATTACCAGGCGGAGTATCTATGTGACTCTACCGCATGGTAATTTATTTATTATTGAGTGGTAGACATTTTATTATCAAACTGGTAATAACTCCGGTTACGAAATTTGAAAATATTACCAGTTGGCAACTAATTTCCTATCACTCAATGATAAATTAATTACTATGCGGCAGAGATACTTCGCCTGGTAATAACTTAGTTACCGGGTTTCTTAGAGTGTACTCGAGTATTTTATTAGGTGTACACTTACTTTGTGCAGATACCCGGTCAATTTCCAAACTGGTTTCTTAACCATATTTTCGCACTTATTAAGAACTTCCGGCAAGACGGTGGACATCCTGAAGAAGATGAAGTACGTTAAAAATATGTAGTTCCATAGGGTGGCCGCGCTTTGAAAGAGGTACAAATAGTCGACCGGGTTTGCGCCGAATTTGTGCGAACTGTCGGTGCGAACTTCCGCAACGAATTTCGATAATGCCAAGAAATGGAGGAAGGCGCACAGAACCTGGGGATAAATGAGACAAATGAGATGTATTAAATACCTAGGTACATATAATTGGGGAGAATTTTGCGCAATCAGGGGCAAATTGAGTCTAAATATGCAGCCTTAAATTAAATAACATTAAAAATAATGTTATTCTTTTGAGAAATAAATGCGCCCTAAATTCTAAATTAAATAAGTAAATTTTACAAAATTCACACTAATGTATAAGTTAACTGTTCTTCCATTGTTGGGTTGCTAATCAATTGATTAATTTGTAACAAAAATGTGCTATCACTTTCTGCATGTATGCTTTGAAAAACTTCAATGCCCCTGAGAAAACCTGAGAAATTTCTTGAAGACACAAACAAAATGAAAATTGTGTTTAATTTGAAAATAACCTTTTGAATTTTGTTCCCACGAGGTACATATTTCCAATCTATGGGACCCCTAACATCCTTTTCAAGTTTCCAAGGAAAACATATTATATAGTAAGAAATTCGAGTAAAGACTTTCAGGAAATTCGAAAATCCGCCCAAATTAGGAACCGATTTTGCCTCATTGATTCCGTCTAAATTAAAAATTTTGGTAGGAATTTTATCAAATTGAAATATTTTACTGGAAGGGATTAAACTCATGTCTGGTTTGAAGACCATTCTAATTTGGAATAATAATGAAAAAAGCTAACCACTTGTCCGTTCAAGGAGGTAAAAATTCAATTTGGCTTAAGTATTTTTGTATTAATAATCACCACTCTAAGCAATGTTGGAGTGAAAATTTATTTCAATTTTGTCAGTGTCAAAAGTCTATTTCGGGAAACTTGGTGATAGATTTGAAGATTTATGACACTATCCAAATTATTCGTTTGAGACTTTAGAAAATAATGTTATACTCTCTTAAAAAGTTATCAGTGCTAACTTAGCACACCCTAAATTATGTGTGAAGTATCTGTAAATTATATACAATCCAGAGTAAACTTTATTCTTTGTCAAGGCAACCATACTTTCGGGTTAGTGTACTTTACTAAATACAGAATTGCAACTGTACTTGCTTTCAAAAGGGTTACATATTTAATTCTTAAGAGTGAAGACTATGTAAATTAGGACAAGACATTAAATTATCAAATTTTTTAGTGTAAAGTACGTACATCCTGTTGTCACGAGTTTGTAGGGAATTATACAAATTGATTTTGACAGCATTATTATAATAGTGATAAGAATAAATTTTAATATGTTTGATTAAATGATTCGATCAATTCATTTCATTCCTAGAATAAATAAGTAATTACTTAAATGTATCACGTGACCAATTTTACCTCTTGACTTATTTATGATAGGAACTGACTCAAGGTATGTATATTTCCCAAAATAATGATTAACAAAGAGCTTAGGGGCCGTCCATAAATTACGCAATACGATTTTCTAGACCCCTTCTAGCATGTGTAACATAGGGACGATATCATTCGAGCCTTAGACCCTCCCCCTCCCCCCTTCTCGCATTACGCAATTTGTTGACGGCCCCTTAACTATGTATGTATTACTGGAATGATTTCGACGTAAAAATTCCATTAATTGCTACACACCCTTTATGTTTGATTAAGTAAGGATTGTCATGCAAATATCGATCGAATAAAAACGTGTTAGCGTTTGCCTCCCTTGAACACCCTGTTGTGTTGCAATTTAATAATTTGGCATTATTGTAATGAAAAATTGAAGAATTGAGGAATTCATGCTTAAATAAGAACTAGTATGTAAATATGTTGGGAAGTCTCTGACGTTCGTCTCATGGATTATGTGTAAATTATTGCTGCCTCATATAAATGAAATCGGCCTAATTAACGTTATAAATTTGTAGCAAATACGATAAAAACCTGTAAAATCTATGGACATTTAAGTAACGCCGAACGCATCATTCATCCCAGTGAGGAAGATGCGCATACAAATATTTATGTGCACTCTTAGAAATCCAGTATAGCACAAGGCGGTATTCGTACATACGTACATGACTCTACCAAAATAACATCATTTCCATCTGATAATAAATAGCTCGGCGTGAAAATTTTACCGCATTGCTTGCAAATTTTTACCGACTGGTACATATGCATAATTTTAATACCAAGTGGTATCAACTTTAACTAACACCGAAAAATTAATGCATTCCTGATTTTACCAGATTTCTACACTCTCAATAATTTAGAAGCAAAATTATTACCATTTTTACTACCCTGACAAGGTAACAACCTCTGTCTCTCATTAGGTAATAAATTTGTCACCAGAATTGTCAACATTGGAAGTGATAAACAGTGTATCCTATCTGGAAATAATTTATTTCCTTCGTGGAAATAATTTCGTCTCCAAAATCATTTCCTGTAGGTGACAATTTATCTCCTTAAAGTCAGCGCAAACTTTAGTCACTAAAGTTTAGTGGCAGTTAAGTTTTCTCTCACCAACGCGCAACGTTTCTCTCTCGCACCTGGCAGAATAACGAAAATTGTTCGAGTTTCGCATCTTACTAGAGGAAAAAATTAGTAATTAGAGGTTCAAATTCTGGATTACTCTACATTTCAGGTAAATACTTTTAATTCATTGTTCAGGATGCTTATGCTGTAATTTTATTGTTTTTTGTCCTATAAATATTTACACTAAAACCAGTTTTTTCTAGATCCTGATGTGCAAATTTCGTTCAAAGATACGGCTCAGATTGAGATGAGGATATTTTTCCAATTTTACTGGAATAACATTCCAACGTTGCGTGTTCCACGAAACTCTTCGTGGAAGATGCTTTTGTGGTAAGATAAAACTCCATTTAAAGTAGTAGTAAATAAGTTTAATTTGTCATTGAGTGTGATTTTAAAATTTATACACTTAACGCTTCATTTCTTTTGGCCGCAATTAGACTAAATTCATTTCCAGCGTCAAATTCAACGCGATGGTTGAAATGTCAAATTATGAACAGGTGGGCCCTCATTTCATTCTTATTTTATTTTTATTTCTGTTAATCAGCGATTTATTTAGTTTGAGTACTGCAGGGTAATACAGATATTTTTAATTTTATTTGATTTATATGTATTTATACCAGGCAAATCTTCACCAGAATAACAAACTCGAGCCAGCTAGTACGAGAATCAATTTTCACTAACATTATAAGTAATATAAGAATGCATATACATATATATATGTAAGCATGCACAATTTAATTTTTATATTTATGTGTACATATGTATGTAGTATGTAGAGAAATGTGAAGAAATTTAATCTCTAACTAAATCGTATTTAAATAAATAAATACATAATTTAGAAACTATGTTTGCTTCCCTCGGGTTCTAATCTATTACCGGAAGGAGATAAATATATGCGCAAGACGGTGATAACTTGTCACCACATGTAGGTAAATTATTTCTACTCGGAGACACAGCTTACCTCCGTTGATTACCTCAGTAACAAATTATATCCCGGTAGGTGACAATAATATTTACCTCCGCTCGGGAGACAAAACACATTTGTCAACGGATGGAGGTAAATTATTACCTTACGGTAGAGTTGCATAGTACCTACACGAGGAGACGATTTTGGTGGCAATTTTGCTGAGAGTGTACACACGTACATGCATACATATGATTCAGTTTTTATGTCAATGCATGCGACACTAATTTTAAATTGGTTAAACCAAAAAACTCATGGACGAATTCATGAGTGCAGTTGAACCAAACCTACATATGGCAAAGAACTTATGTAATACAAGCTCAATACATATCCACTTCATCAACACCATAACAAGAAGTAACATCATCTGTTTTTGCACATTTAATACATTTATATGTAAATTATTTATTCGTGTCAATTTCCTGCGTCATAAATAAAAATTATGTAAGGAGGAGCGAAGAAAGTAACTATAAACCTGGAGCTTAATTAAATATCCTATTGTGGTAATTACTAAATACATACATTATTTGAGATTTATGTATAAATTTCCAATTGTATCACTCTTCAAAATAATGTTTTTTGAAAAGAAAATGCACTATGAATTTTAAGTTTAGTAAATTATACGAAACCTAGCGTAAACTTTAATCCTTATCAAGTCATCGATAGTATAGTTTACTTAATATCGAATTCAGGGTGCATTAACTATTCAAAAGGGTAACAGTATTTTTAATAGTTTCTTTTTTACTAGAATTTTTCCATTGTTTTTGGAAAATCGGGCCTTGTCATGGACCCCATTCTCATAATTTTGGTGTGCTACGCCGTCCTACTCTTGTTCTTCGGTTTGTGGACTTTTAGCTTAATGGCGAGAGATAAAAGGGCCGCGGAAAGTAGCATGTGGCGAATTTCAGAGTGCAAACTGCACACCCTGGAATTGTTCGGAGGATGGTTTGGAAGTCTGATGGCGCAAGTGTGTTACCGTCACAAGAATAAGAAATGTTCGTACCAGATCATATTTTGGATTATCGTCGCTGCTCACGTGGCTGGAATCGGTGCCGTGTTTTTTGGAAGGGAGAAAATCAGGGATTTATTTACGAACAGTTGAGGAGAATAACTTAACGCTTTGAATTACAACTTAATTATGCATTTGTAACAAATAAATGACATTTCAGATTTAACAAGTTTTTGTTTATGTATTTATCTCTACTATTAAGGTAGAACGCGTGGTCTTGGTTGACTGCGAGGTTGCCACATTCTCTCGCTCTCCATGCGCTCCCCTACTCACTAGGTATACTATTTAGGTGGGTAGAGAGTTCAGATATCCCACTATGTGCAAATATTGCACAATATACCGGTATGAAACACTATGCAAAAATTTCCGTGTTAAAATCACTTTTGAAAAAGTAATGACGATTTTAGTGACGCAAGTCTAGGAATTTTCTCAATGCTTTAACAAAGGTGAAATTTTTGCTTCTGACCTTTACGAATTACAATCTCTCTCCAGGAGACATTACTTCGCTACGGTTCTAATCATTTTCCCAAGCAGCCGTCCAAAATGTCCAAATGCACAAAAAGTGTCCAAAATAAAAAAATGGACCTAAATGTTGCAATTTCTTTGCTAGATTTCTTTTGCAAATCTGGTCACATATATTTTATTCTCTTTATAATGTACGTAATTTTGAACATTTATATGCCATTATTTGGAATTTTTTGCTTAAATGTGTTTCCTTATGAGAAATTACGAAATTTTCTAAATACTACTGTATCAGACTTCAAGATTCTCAGAATTAATGGGAGATTGCATATCTTGTCAAATATTTGCAAAAACTGATGATACCTAAAGAAATTTTTACATTTTAGCCCATTTTCTATTTTGGGCACCTTTTGTTCATTTTAAAAATTTTGGACGGCAGTTTTGGAAAATGATTAGAACCGTAGCGAAGCAATGTCTCCGCCAGAAGTGGAGGAGATTGTAATCCGTAAAGGTCAAAAGCAAAAATTTCATCTTTGTTAAAGCCTTGAGAAAATTCCTAGACTTGCGTCACTAAAATCGTCATTACTTTTTCAAAAGTGATTTTAACACGGAAATTTTTGCATATTGTTTCATACCGGTATATTGTGCAATATTTGCATATAGTGAGATATCTGAACTCTCCACCCACCTAAATAGTATACCTAGTCAGCCAACCGCCCTGTCACTAGCACCGGCAACGTCGCCATGAATGCATTGAGTGCAGCATATATTAAGTGACTATATATATAGACTTTATATTGAGTGCATACGCATGCATATGCACACATTGAGTTAATTAGACACACTCGATGCTCTGTTGCACTGCCGTTCGACAAGAAAATTATAAATTCAAATTTTTAATAACGCTGTAACTTTTCGAATTTTAATCCGATTTCAAAAGTTAAACCCAATTTTTGCTCAGAATAACTTCCCTTAAATTTAAAAAAATTGATATATTAATGCCATTTCTGAATTTTTTAAAATGCTAAAACCAATAATTTTTTAAATACAATTTTTGTTTTAAATGAATTTTTGTAATTTCATGGAAGTAATTCGGAGCAAAAATTGTGTTTACCTAATTTTTAAAAATTGCTTTCAGGTAGTAAGTAAGTAATTGATTTATTTGCGAGATTGTTTGGCATCAGCCTTGTACAATCATATATTATTATCATCTAAACTTGTATTGTTACGCCTGCTTTTCCTCAAATTCCCAAATTTCATTAACAGAGTTGCTTATACTAATAATATTATCGAAAAATTTTTTGAAATTGTTCATTACAGGTGGTTGTAGCTTTGCTATAAACTTATAATAATCATTTTCATTTCTGGGTATCGTAACATTTGGAAAGTAGGTATATCTACAATAATTATAATTTTGACATTCACATATGACATGGTAAAGTGTTTCTTCTTTTCCTTCGTTGCATACTAGACATATCTTTGTTTTCTGTGGATAGAATCTGTGATGTAATGAGTTAAATTTATGGACTGTATCCCCTAAACTAACCTGATTTACATTACAACGCAATTGTGCCGCGATTCTTATCTGACTCCATGGTATACATAAATTTAAGTAGGGTTCTAGGTTAATATTGGTTTTAATTAACTTATAATATTTATATTCTAAACTTGCATTCATTTTTTCGATATCATTATTCATAACATCTTGTGAGATTTTACTTATCGCTAAGTTAATGCTTTTACATATTTGTATCTTATCCTCATCTGGACTAACTAGTAATATGTCTTCAATACCATAATTACAGAGTAAAGTGTTTAGATCTCGGTACCAGTTATGTCTGATTTCGGTATTACTCAGTCTCTTCAGCTCATCGTAACACAGTCTGAGTAGCGAGTCTTTATCGCTAGTGATAATTTTGTACCAAAAAAATAATGCACTTTTAATCAGCATTGCTTGTATTGGTTTAGTGCTTGTCTCCATACGACATATCCATTTTGGTGTTATACGTGGGAAATGAAATAGTCGTCTAATAAAATTCATCTGGAAAATTTCTATCTTGTCACATTGCTTTAGCCCCCAAATTGAACTACAATATAACAATACTGATTGTACAAGAGAATTAAATAAGTTAGACCTGCTAGCAAAAGTTGTAATTTTCGCTTTGTAAAACAGTTTACATCAATAATTTTCAGCATATTTGGCTTTGGAACGAAAATAATCATATACTTTATCTTGACTCATATTACAATGAAATGGTACCTCTAAGTAATGATATTTGTCTACATATTCAATTTCATCGTCACCCCAGAATATTTTTGGTTTTCTTTTAACAGAGCCTCTGGCTTTGAATATGACTATCTTAGTTTTGCCTAAATTAACTTTGAGACCATTGTCAGTAAAGTACTTCATTAGAAGGTTAATCTTATCCTGCATATCGAATATATTGTACGCAAGCAGGACCAGATCATCAGCATAACACATAATATGAATATCGGCTCGTCCTACTCGAATTGGGGAAGGTTTTATGTTCTCAAATATTTTATGTACGTCTTCCAGAAAAATTGTGAATAATTTTGGACTGAGGGTCTCTCCTTGAAATACAGATTTTTCGAGTTTAAACCAATCACTTTCTCCCCCTTGGGTTCTAATTTTTGCTTTAGCACTCTTATATATACTTTGAATTGTTCTAATAAATTTGCTACTAATTCCTACTTTCATTAATTTGTCCCACAGTAAATTGTGTTCTAGACTTCCAAATGCGTCCGACATGTCTATGAACAAGGCACATACTTTACTTTTTGGGGTCTTCAAGTTGCATTGTAAGGCTGCTTGTAGGGTAAATACGTGATCTTGGCATCCTGCACCGTGTTTATAAGCTGCTTGATAATCCGACACAATCTTGTCAGTTTTACACCAGCCGTTGAGACGATTGCTAAGCATTATGGTGAACAGTTTGAGGCAAGTATTGGCCAGGGAAATAGGTCGATAATTTTTCACTTCGTCTGGATTTCCTTTCTTGTATATGGGTCGTATGATTACTTCTGCCCAGGAGGGAGGGACACTCGTATTATTCCAAGTTTCATTAATACAATAAACTAATTTGTCTCTGTGTGAATCCGTCAACGCCTTCCACAACTCATTTGGGATGGTATCTGGTCCTGGAGATTTCTTCCTCGCCAACATTTTGATAGCCAAATTGAGCTCTTCCTTATTAAAGTTAGAACCGAGATGCTCGTCAATCTTCTCTGTGATGGTCGGTTCTGGGTGAGTTTTCTTACTTTTGTATGCAGTTGATGCTTTCAGGTAGTATACTTCAAGTAACTGGGTTACGACCCTTAATTTCCAACTATTAAGGCTTTTAGATTTTTCTAAACATGCGCCACGTAAGACCAGGGTTCGCCACCCCAGGCTTTTGGGGGTTTGGGGGGCATCAAATCTCCGGAAGACCCCTAATGCTTAATGGGTTTTTGCGGGGTTTTTGTAAGATTTTAAGGCAGATTGAAACAAAATCTCTTAAACTACAACTTAGACCAATGCTAATTAAATTGTCAGATTCATCGTGAAGTTTTGACAATTTTTATGTGGGACTTTAATTTCCAAGTATCATTGCATATTTCCAGATTGACATGTTAAACAAGAATTTTCGATTCAACAGTCCAACTTGGACTGTCCAAGTAAATGATAATGCTTAATTAAAATTGCACGATAAATTCGGCATTTATAATTCCACCCCCACCCAAATCCACCCCCACTTCGTGGGTGGATTTGGCTGTGGGGTTTGTAGGTGGGAATTAGAAATACCGGATAAATTCGTATATTAAATAAGTTTTTCCCTAATACATAATTTTAGGAATTTTGGTTCAACCTGCCCCAAAATCTACAAAAACCCACAAAAACCCCAATAACCCCGGAAAAACCCCCGGGGTTGGGGGTTTCTGGAAAAACTCCGGGGTTTTCCGAACCCTGCGTAAGAGCCTGTTATAAGTTCTGTCAATCAACATCGCCGGTGTCAATACATATATGACTTAACCGCCTTGGTTACAATGTTGAATCCGAGTTATGATGATTTTGATACCGGCAGTTATAATGTTATGACCGGACGGAAAAAATTCATTACTACTCGGAATCACAATTGTAACCAAGGCGGTTAAGTCATATGTATATTGACACCTTTTTGTTTTGAGTGTATGTATGTACCTTATAATTTTTAACAGTGTTCCATTAATCCCTTTTTTATGCAAATGCATGCGACAATAATTTTATTAAAGTTTCATGGTCAAACCATTAAACTCATCTTAATATGTATGCATTTATTTATGTATGAGTGCAATTGGACCAAATATAAATACATACAGGAAGTGACTGAATACAAGCTCTACAGTATATCCACGTCACCCACATCATAACAAACATATGGTTTTGCATACTAAATACATACACTTAAATATGTACATCATTTACATATTCATGTCAATTTCCTGGGTAAATATAAATACAAGGAATTAACTAAAAAACCTGATTTTCGTCCAATATTCTTATTTGGTAATTACATAACTTTTCATTTATAAATTTCTAATTAAAAATAATAATAGTAACCTTTTGAAAATATGTAAAATGCAGTCCTAAGTCCAGAGTAAACTTTACTCTTATCAAGGCAATGTCTGGGTGTAGTTAGGGCATCCAAAACCGGTAAAAAACCGGTTTTC